AAAGTCAGGATAGGCCCAGAAGATAGACAGAAGGTTGGTCGGACATGGCAGTAAAGCTTCTGAAAGAGAACTGCCAGCAGGTGCATCAGGACAGATAATGCCCACAGAGGCCTGGAGTCAGAGGTCAACAATTCCTGCAAAGAAATGATCCTTTTCCTCGAGACATTAAAACTGAAATTCCTGAAGCATTTGGAGATCTAGAACGGAATGATCTTAACACTTGCTCATGAAAAGTTTTCATTACGGAGGCCTTCATGGAGCAATGCTAGCTTTCATTCTGCACTACGGGACATGGTCCCCCAATCAATTCAGATCAATTTCAGGAAAAGATCAAGGGTATCCTGAGATATTCTCATGAGAGATACATAAACTGACCATTAGAAAGTTAACAAGGGAAGTAGAAGTGGAAATTGTAGTGTTTCCGATTTGGGCTTGGTCTTTCTTCCGATATGTTCCTATTCCATTTTCAAGTCTTGTTTATGTGCCAGTGGAGGGATCCCATAACTCTGATTAGGCAGCATGGAAAGAAACTCCATCAGCCACAGTATTTCCTAGGGAAATTTGTGAAACTAGCTGAGTTTTAGGAAAGGGGGAATCTCGCCTGGACTTCACATGAATTTGAAGTGCTTCACTGTTTGAAAAGGCCTTCTGATACCCTGCAAAAGTTGACTTTTGAGGCTTCTGAGTTTTCTCATATTTGATCTTATTCCATATGCACTTCTTCTAGACATGTTACCGTGTCCCAAAGATTGACTGGTCAGTAGCAAAGGATTATTATTGACAATCTTTTATATAGAATGGAATAACAGAGTTGGAAGGGACCTTGGAGGTCTTCTAGTCCAACCCTTTAGTGATGGCTAACTTTTTGCTATTGTGTGCCAGGAGCAAGAGGGGTGGTGGTGTCGCATGCACGCTAGTCCACACCCATAATTCTATGCGCCCTGCCTCTACACATGCGCGCATGACCCCCCCTCGCTCTCCCTGCTCCTGGCACGCGATGGCACGGTAGGCCTGTTTTTTTGCTGTCCCCAGTCTCCAGAGCCTTTCTAGGAGTCTGGGGAGGGTGAAAACGGCCTTCCCCACCCCCCCAGAGGCACTCTAGAGGCCAGAAACAGCCTAGGGTGAGGGGTGGGGAAGGCTGTTTTTTTTTTTTTAAATACTTTATTGAATTTTCCAAAACAAAAAGAAAATATACAATCTCTATCTCCTTTCGGAGGTACAGTGTTTGTACAATTTAGTGAAACAAATGTTAAAAAAAAGCTTCATCCTTAACTATACATTATTCTATACAATATAACTATAATTCATGTGCCAAACAGGTCATATCCTAAAGTCATGTTTTTATCTTGTTCTTCAACCAATTATACCAAATACCCCATACATCATAATATTTAGAGTTGTCCTCGTTATTTAACTCACTCGTCAGTTTCGCCATTTCTGCGCACTCTAGGATCTTATTTATTAGAGTTTCTTCTGAGGGTATAAGTTTATTTTTCCAGCATTTTGCGAAGGCTAATCTAGCCGCGGTTGTGATCTGGATTATAAATTGGGTTTTGTTATTATTTAAGCCTTTTCAGTTATGCCCAGGAGGAAAAGTTCTGGAGCTAGGACTACCTCCTGTCCCATTATTTCACAGAGCCAGTGTCGGATTTTGGACCAGTACTTTTTGGTCTCTGCGCAAGTCCACCATAGGTGATAGAAGGTGGGGAAGGCTGTTTTTGCCCTCCCCAGACTCCTAGAAAGGCTCTGGAGGCTGGAGAGAGAGAAAAACAGGCCATCCCCACGCCCCAAGGCCTCCGGAGTCAGGAAACCCCCTGTTTCCCTACTTCTGGTGGGCCAAGAAGGCCCAAAAATCAGTTGGCCGGCGTGCACATGCGCACTACGAGCTGAGCTCACATGGTGGTATACATAGCACAGGTAGCTATGTATACCACCTGTGGCATGCATGTCATAGATTCGCCATCACGGTCCTAGAGAAATTTGTGAATCTACCTGGGTTTTAGGAAAGGGGGAATCTTACCTGGACTTCACATGAATTTTCACTGTCTGAAAAGGCCTGCTGATACTCTGCAAAAGTTGACTTTTGAGGCTTCTGAGTTTTTTCATAATTGATCTTATTCCATATGCACTTCTTCTAGAGATGTTACCATGTCCCAAATATTGATTGGTCAGTAGCAAAGGATTATTATTGGCAATCTTTTATATGTAGGATAGGCTGGACTTGCAGGCAAGGAAAATATTCCTTTGGGATCCAGATAGTAGAAAATTAATCATGGGGTCGATCCCACCACTGGCAAATCCAGAAGACTTGCAAATAGAATAGGAACAGAGTCCAAATCACAAGATCTATGATTTGTTCTGACTCAAATAGAATCTTTGTAAGCTACCTGGGGTCACAGAGAGTGAGTTGGAGGTCATATAAAGGTCTTATATAAATAAATCTAATTCAACTACCTTTGAATTTTGATGTCTCCAGTTGGTTGATTTAAATAACATGCCTTGGCTCCGAATTATATGGAAAAAATGTTTGGCAAATTTGTGTGCCTTCAAGTTTAATGGAATTTGAAAGAGGAACTTCAGCTATTGATTCAAAGAAAATGTGCACTTATTGAAGAAACATAGCTTATTGTGATTGCAGCTTCTCTAAAAATAACTGAGGTTTTCTTAGTAGTGGTGATTGCCCTATTCAATTCATGCAAAGCTTATTAAACTCCCCTCTGCCCCCACATTTCTCCTGGTCTTTTCCTATGTAAGTCTGCATCCACAAAGTATTTTCCAAACTGCCTTTTTCCTACCTACATTTTTGTCCTTCAATTTGACTGATTTGATCATCTAACCTTAGCTTGAAAACTGATGCAATTTGCAAGACCTTCGAAGTAGTATTTTCAGTCTCTTTCTGGATATACCTCCAAGTATAACTCAGCTTAAGAGAGATGTGTACTTTTCTCAACGGATTAAATGTACCGTGAGCAAAAACCTTTCACTTCCTTTATGCAACTGTGCTATGCCCAGAGGCATAACTGAGAAGAACAGAGAAGTGGCATCTCTCTATTGCTTCAATGGAAAATTTCATAGCGTATTTTAGCTCGGAATGGGACAAAGTGCCATGGCCAATTCACAGCTTTTGGACAAACCAAACTGCACCATGGCCAACTCATCATGGCCCACTCATCATGGCCAACTCACCATGGAACAACTCACTGCAGGACAATTCAACAATTCACTTTAATTATTTAAAATCATTTAAAAATTACTTAATTTTTGTCATTCACATTTCATTTTGTCACTCCAGTTACATCCTTTCTTTAATAATTCTATTCCACCATTTCTTCGATTAGTGTAACTCCTGTCTCTTGGTGAATTGTCCCAGGGAGATTTGGCTACGGAGAGTTGGCCATGATGAGTTGGCCATGGCGCAGTTTGATTGGTCCAAAAGCAGAGGATTGTTTCAGTGTCAATCAATTGACCTACTGAATTAGATTTCACAGATGAGCCATCAAATAATTCTTTTACCAATCAGATCACCTCTCCTATGTCCTTTGCCGGGGTCCCATCACATCTTTGTGAAAATGGTTGCCATTCTTTACTAGCATGTCTTTATGTAAGTGAACCATGGTGGGCTTGAATCCTTGCCCCTTCTCTGATACTCCGCATGGTCTACCACTATTTCAAAAGGAATCAATCAATCAATCAATCAATCAATCAGAATAATGTTGGAAGGGACATTGGAGGACTTGTGGTCCAGCCCCCTCCTCAAGCAGGAGACTCTATACAATTTCAGATAGGTTGGCATCCCAGAATTCATCTTTCTCTGTTCTATGTACTAAAGCACAGGACTTCCACACTTCCAATCTATAGATTAGGGTTGAAGGATCGCATCCCTTCTGATCAAGATTGTTTTCCTGTAGAATGTTTGTTATGAGAATGGCTAATATTATTTCTGTGCATGGAATTGAAGAATGCATGGACATTGTTATCTGGGGTGGAAAGGAAAGATCTCCAGGGATACCCCAAGCTCAAAGAAACAGTTGGAGCAGGACGTTCTCTGGCCTACTACCTGCCCAACGTTTCAGCCAAGAACCTCAATTTAGGAAATCACCATTAAGGCCATCCTTGAAGGTGGATAGAATATCAAAACAGGACAGAAATTTGAGATTGCAGTGTAGGTCAGTTTGTGGTTTTAATATCTTGAGTAAAAGGAGAAAAATAAATGAAGCAATGTTGTCATTTCATACGTTGCAGACGTATTGGAAAAACTCGGGAGGATCTTCAGCCAACATAGCATACGTGCACCCTTCAAACCCAAAAATACACTAAGATCTTTTTTATGAACAAGGACAAAGGGATTTTATGGGTGACAAGATGATTCTGTCCAGAATGCTCACAGGTTTGAGGAATTTCTGGTTTTAAAGTCATCAGTAAGAAGAGCTTTTCTTTGCAGGAATTGTTGATCTATGACTGAAGGCATCCCTTGGAATCATCTGTCCTGCTGTTACACCTGCTGGAGGTTTTGTACCAGAAACCCTATTGCCATGTCTGACCAACCCTCTATCCATCATCCTTGTCTATCCTGACTTTTGGATCTTGTGAATCCTTTAGTCCACTGGCCACTTTTAGAGAGAAGCAGTCATGCTCAGATCTGCTCAAAGGAAGCCATGTTTCTTGAATAAAGCCAGATCCACGGTTGCAGCCTGAGAGGTTAGAAGCTTCAGAGAAGCTGCCCGCTTACTTAACTGAAGTACGAATAAAAAATAGGAAGGAGCTGTACTTTGCAGAGAGATATTTTGTTTAATTTTGCATTATGTAAGGATTGTATAATCTTGTATAAATACAGGAAGAGATGCCAATTGTCCATGTGCCCAGGTTTTGCACCCGGAACGGTAGCGTTTGCCTTAAAGACAGAGACTGGTTGGTTCTTCACATGATCTGATCTGGCTTCCGTTTTGGTGTCGGGGGCAAAAAGGCCACACTCCCAGCCCTTCCCTTTTCTCCTGAATCTCCCCGTTCTTCTCTCTTAATCCTAGATATCCAGCCCCCCATCTCAGAGGGGTATAAATAAGTGCCTGCTTCCATCCTGGGCTACACTTTGCAGGCTGAAGAGAAGATTGCAAGATGAAAACTCTGCTGCTGTCCTTGGTGGTGATGGTGGGATTTGTGTACCTGGTCACAGGTAGGGCCACAAAGCTTTGATCTTAGGTGACAATCAAAGAAAAAAAAAGGCGGGGGGAGGCAGTGGGAGGTATGATATTTGAGGCAGTTGTGCTCCGTTCTGGTGGTGGGACTTTCTCCCTGTTCTGCACTCCATAAGGAGGGTCCATGGGAGCCTTTAGGGGAGAAGAGGAGGTGTCTGTTTGGAGAGAAGCCCATAGCTGAGACAGTGGCTGTTCCAGGCTGGCATTCCGGGGTAGACTGCCTCTGAAAGGAGAGGCTCCTTTGTGTAGTGAATTCTGCCATGGCACATTTTGCCTGACCAATTCTCGAATACAGCTCATCTGCCTGGAATCCACACTGTTTATCAGACATTAATACAATTGAGTGGGTCCAGAGGCAGGTGGATTCTTACACCACCAGGCTCAAAATTTTGGGCTGAGACAGCTTAGAACTACGGCACCTTCGGTCTGACTTAAGCATAGTACACAAAATTGTCTGCTACCACGTCCTACCTGTCAATGACTACTCCAGCTTCAAACTTAATAATACAACATAATAATTTTAAATTGGGGTATTTTAAATTTGTGGGGTTTTAAATTGAGCCAAATTTATTTAATTATTTTAAATTTTTAATCGATGTTTTGTCTTGTGTTTTTAAATAGGCTGTACACCGAGTCCTTCGGGAGAAGGGCGGTATAGAAATAAAATTATTATTATTATTATTATTATTATTATTATTATTATTATTATTATTTGATTTTTGTATGGAAATTTTCACAGCTGACCGTAGTATTAAATGATCTATCATCTAATAAATAATAAGATTGCAAGATCGGAAAAATAAATATCCAAATAAGATTTCTATGTTTTATTTCTCTCATCTAGGAGATAACCGGACATGTTACTCAGGCACTGGAATTCTCTGTTTGGAGAATGAAGAGTGTGCAGAAGGGGAGAACCTGTGCTATAAAAAGACGATTAAGGAAGGTTTATGGCGTAAGCACAGTTCTTATCTTTTCTCACAGGTTTTCTTCTTGAACCCAAACTAGAGCTCCCAAATGCACCTGAGAGTTGGTGGCCACGTAGCACCTGTCTGTGCCCTTCCTGGGTTCCCTTGTGGTCATGGCCTGTTGCCGGACACTCTAAGGAATGCAAGGAAAGGGGGGCTTGCACTGGGGAGCCCCGTCCATCCCAGAAGCAGCCCAGACTGGAGGGGGAAACCTTCCTTAGAGAAGGGGGGAGGGAAATGCTGGGAGAGCTGAAAGTTTCTTCTGGAATTGAGGGAAAATGGATGAAGCCATGAAACCTCCAGGAAAGTTGGAATTGCCCCTGAGTCATGTCAAAACGTGGGACTTTCCCAGAAATCTCTTCTTTATTCATTGACTCCTGAGTACTGATTAGAGGAGAAAGGAAGTCAGCCTTCCTACTGGGAGGGAATCCATGAATGTGTTAAAAGTGGGTTTACCGTTTTGTTCAGCAACAGCCACAGGTCTGTTCTTTGGTATTTTTTAAAAAATAATCATTCTGCTTTGTGCTTCCTTCACAGAAATTCAAATTGTCAAGGGATGTGGCTGCCCTGTTCCAGGAGAAAATGAGAAAGTTACGTGTTGCGCAAAAGACAAGTGCAACTGCTAGATCTACAAGGGGCTAAATTCCTTGAGTTTTGCTCTCATCCATCATGGGCCATCCTTGAAAATTTATGCTCCTGGCCTTTACCACCAGATGGTCCATAATCCCCTTCCCCCCTGCTGTCTTTGACACCTCATCATCCTTCCCTTTTCTCTTGTTCTCTAAGTTTCCTTCTGCTAGTTCTGTAGTTTGAGAGTCAAATAAACATCAGCATTCAATTCAAGTGTTTTGATTTATTAATTTCCCCCTCAAAACTGAACATTCCTTTCACAAAACCCACAGTTAGCGAGTCTTCCTCCGGGATCCAGCAGGCAGTGATGCTGGGGTGAGCAGGAATAGGTCCAATCCCTGTTGAATCATGGCTTGGATTGCCTAACGGGGTTATAACCTTACATTCACACAGGGCAAAGAAAGACGAGAAACCCACAACGGAGTCTTTCCTCAGTGAAACCTCAGAGTCCAACCCTGCCCCTTCCCTCCCTTTCTACTCTCTGGGGCAAACTGAGAGGAAGAGGAAGATGCCTTGAAAGAGAGGAGGGGGATTTGGGGTGAAGGATGGCAGGCCCCTTCTCCACCACGCCCACCTGAAAGAAGAAACATCTTGATTCAACAGTTGACTCTGAAGGCTGTTCTCAAGCTCTCTCAGTCCTGGGTTCAGGTTTTGGCGATAACACCAGAGATTACCTAGGTGGGCATTGGAGCTGAGTGGGAATTCTTCTTCTAAAAAAAAATCATTTAATTTGATTTAGAGACATCCTGGCTCCTGTTCAACTCTGTATGGGCACCACATAGCATAGAAAGAGAACAATAAATACACATTGCAAGAACAACAGTACCTTGTTCACAACATAACCGTGTCATAGTTGGGGATTGAGTGCCTAAGGGGATCGAGTCACCCCTGCCCAATGCCTGGGAGAAGGTTAGGGCTTGAAGGACCTCCAAATCACCAGGAAGTGGGAGCCACCAGGTTGTCCCTCTTTTTTTGATGATCTGGGTGAAGCCACTGGGGAGGGTTATCAGCCACCTCAGGTCGGGTGGGAGAAAGAAAAGGCAATGATGCCAGCAAACCAATAAAGCCCCTTCCCCAATAATGGTACTAAAGCACCCCCTCCCAGTATCCTTGATATGCCAGAGGTGAGAGATCTGTCAGTGCTGAAGAAACGTCTTGAATGAGAAACTATCAAGTGCCGTTGCCACATTTGGGAGACCTGCGAGGGATGGTGCCTATAGAAGGGGAGCTGGTGTGATGAGCTACAATGATGTAGTCCTTCCTTGTGTTTGCGTGCATGTCTTTGTGTGTGTATGTGTGTGAGTGCATGTCTGTGTGTAGAAACAAGAGGCAACCACTATAAAGCAGTGATATTAAAAAGAGGGATGGAGCTGACATTACTTCAGTGGGGTTGATATTCCATAGAACGGGCACCATGGCAGAAAGGTCTAGTCTCCGGGGTCCCACTAGATTTTTTTTTTTAATTTGATTTATATGCCGCCCTTCTCCGGAGACTCAGGGTGGCTTACAAGGCGTTAAGCAATAACCTTCATCCTTTTGTATATTTATACAAAGTCAGCTTATTGCCCCCACAACTGGGTCCTCAATTTACCTACCTTAGAAAGGATGGAAGGCTGATTCAACCTTGAGCCTTGGTGAGATTCGAACCTGCAGTAATTGCAGGCAGCTGGTTAATAACAGGGTGCTTTAGACCACTGTACTATCAAGGCTCTTTGGCTCTACATCTATCAAGATTTAGCTTGTTAGCAGACAGGACCCACAACGTGCCTCTTCTGCTGGATCTGCTGGATCTGCTGGATCTGCTGGATCTGATAGGAGGGGCCGATTTAATTGGGGAGAGACAATTCCACAAATAACACAAACTCCATATCAGGAAAGACTTTAAAGGTACTTTGGACCCGGTAGCAAACTGGTAACCAATGCACCTTGTAGATCAGAGGGGTACATTGTGCCATTTTAGGGTAACACATGATATCTTGCAACCCCCACATTCCACATTAGCTGATACTTCTGGATGCTCTTCCAAGGCATGATGATGGATCAAAGTTCTCCCAGAACCAGGCACTTCACCGTTCTCCACCTCCTACATCACACCCATATTCTGAAAAAATCCATCTGATGGTTCTGAACTGATCTTCAAGATCCTGGAAATCCAGGGCTGATTTGTATGTTTCAAATGGTTTTTGCCAGGCTAGAATTAAGGAGAACCCCAACCTTCATATCCCACAGACTGTCCTTTCATTTTTAGAGCTCTCCTTCTGAATACCTTCTTGCAGACTTGGTTGGACGATTATTAACTTAGCAAAAGAAATAGAGCTTCCTTTGTAGGTTTGCTACATAGTTTGTGTTCCTTAAATACTCCTAAAAGATATTCAGGTGAGAGCAGCCAAACTTTCATCTTGCAATCGTCTCTGTAGCTAGCAAAGTGTAGCACAGGATGGGAGAGGGCACCAGTAGTGGGTTTCAAATCCCAGTGCTCCCCGTTCACAATCGAACCAGGGTGAACTGGTAACACCACTGGAGGGCACACATTATACCTTTGAGATGTTGTCCTTGCAAGATTAGATTTCTAGGATTAAGAGAGAAGAACAGGGGGACTCAGGGGCAGAAGGGTAGGGCAGGAGATTGTCCCCTTTCCCTCACCACCAAAGGGGAAACCAGATTAGAGCAGATAAGGAACCAACCGGTTCCTTATCTATTTTTCTGTCTGCAAAATTTGGGCACTTGGACAATTGGACAAATGCTACCATTCCAAGTGCAAATTTGGTCACCAGGACAGTTGATATCACTTCCTGAAGTTATAGAAGGCTGCATAACCTGTGCAAAGTACAAACTTGAAGAAAAGCTCTCTCGGCAAAGTTCAGTGACTTTGTACATCCATTAACCAAATGGACAAATGCTTCAAGTCTTCTAACCCCAGTTAGAAGTTGTGACGGTGTCTGTTCTCTGAAAAGGGAGAGAAAAAGGGAGAGAAAAGGGAGAGAACAAGGCCCAGATGGAAAGCAGGCCCAAAGAAAAAGCCGGGGTTTATTCCACGGTGGGATTACTCAGGAGAAATCTCAGGAAGATTCTAAGAAGTGATCTCAGTCACCACCAAACAAATCTGTTCCTCCGAATTTCCTCCTGTGATTCTAGGAATCTTTTGGTTGAGGTATTGCCAGTAAGAGTAATTTGGCTTAAGATATAAAGTTCCTCACTGAGAGAGCCAAAGAAGCTAAAAATGTTGGAAGGGGGCTGTGAGATCCTTTCTTGAACCCCAGCTAAGGTAGGAATTCACCCCAAAAGTCAAAAATGGTCAATGTAAGCAGAATGGGCCTGGTGGCTCAGCAGACTAAAAGCATTGTGATTAACACCAGCTGTCTGCAATTATTGTAAGTTCGAATCTCACCAGGCTCAAGGTCGACTCAGCCTTCCATCCTTTCTAAGGTAGGTAAATTGAGGACCCAGTTTGTGGGGGCAATAAGCTGACTTTGTATAAATATACAAAAGTATGAAGGCTATTAAATCAAATTAAAAAAAAATTGTCAGGGTTCCAAGTAATAGATCCATCGCAAGCAAAAACTCCAGGGGTGAGCTTCAAAATTTTTTGCAAGGGGTTCTCTGCCCAGTTGCTAGATGGGTGTGGCCATGGTGGGTGTGGCCTAGTTGGCCTCCTGCACCATGGCGGTGGGGGGGCATTTTTGCTCTCCCCAGGCTCTGGAGGCTTTCCTTGAGGCTCTTGGAGGGTGAAAATGGCCTCCCCAGGCTCCGGAGGACCTCTGGAGGCTGGAAACGGGCCCATTTCCAGGCTTCCCAAACTTTCGGTAGGCTCGTGTTTCACTGTCCCTGAGCTTCTGAGTGCGCCCTGCACTTACCTGCATCCAAATCGGACCGCTTGGGGACTCATGGGAGGGGCGGGGAAGGGCGGGCAGGGCCAGCTATGAGTGGGATTTGGGGGTTTTCTGAATTGCACATAATCTTAGCTAGAGATTCTCCTGAACCCCTGTGAACCCCCAGCAGCCCACCCCTGAAAAACTCAGAGCCACATAGATTCCTCAAAGAATAGCTTTATTGGAAATATCATATTGGCACATGTCTGGTGAAAACCAACTTTGGTGGCCATTGCTATTGAGCTTGTGTATGTCCATCAAGGTCATGTTCCTTACTATCTACAAATATGGACCATCCAGGAAGGTAGGAATATCATTTTCACACCTGCGCGGTATAACCTCAGTGAGTCAGAAGGAAGAGTGGAGAAGGCGCATCTTGTGACCCGATGGTTCAACCATAAAAAAACAAAATTTGTTTGTTCCACGATCTGGAACGAGCTCCCCCCGGAGATACGGAGGATCCCGGATCTTTGCACCTTCCGTTGCGCGCTTAAAACGTTTTTATTTCATCAAGCTGGCCTGGCCTAAATCATCTCCTCTTTTAAGTTTAAATTTTAAACATAAATTTTTAATCTGTTTAATTATGGGGTATTTTGAAATTCAGCCTAAATTATTTAATTTGTTTTAATTTATTTTAGATTTTGTATTTCCTGTGTTTTATCTTCTGGCTGTTCACCGCCCTGAGTCCTTCGGGAGAAGGGCGGTATAGAAATTTAATAAAATAAAATAAATAAAATAAATAAAATAAAAATTAAAAATATTTAACGACTTAGTGGCAAAAAGATATTATCTGGAAAGAAACATGGCTGTGTTGCAATTCTCAGCTTGTCAGCTTCCACCTTTACTGCTTTGGCTGCCATAGTAACGGGAGGGGGGAGAGCTAGGTAGCATGGGGGGGGGAAGCGTGCTGGAGGAATCTGGAGGAATCGAAAGCAATACTTAAGCCACCGGACTGTATCTTTGAAGCTGCTATCGGGTCAATGGTCATGGCATTCCTGATTGATGACGCTGCCAGACGTGTGCTTCCACCTGACCCCTGGGAGACCTTTGGATTGGATGATTTACGGTGGACAGTGGGAGGGGATGCTTTCTATATGCAATTTTTGTGCTTGTTGCCTTAGATTCTGCTTTTCCTTGGTTGTGATCACTTCATTTTCTAGTAAAAGTACCTTTCTCTATAAACAATGGAGTTTGGGTCTTTCCTGGACTTTGAAGGAAGCACACCTGACATTCAGCAGAATCTCTTCTCCAGCCATCCCGGATAAACACCGAGGGGGCTGAACCCAAAATATGTCTGATCAAGAGAGTGAAGGAGACCAGATGGGAGCTTCTGGCTCTA